AAGCCTAGCCTGGACAACTTGGCGACTTAGGGAGAACCTGTCACAAAAACAAACAAAAGAGACTGGCGTGCAGCTCAGGGTGAAGGTCCTGGGTTCAATCCCCAGTTCTAAAAACAAACAAAAAACCCCAACCAAACCAAAACAAATAAGGGAACCAAACCAGGTGGCCTAAAGCCGCACTGGGTCGAGTCCTCCCGTGCCTCCTGCCATCTGCTTTCCACCCGGCTGTGCCCAGCCCTTCTTCATCCATCCGCCCTGACAGTGGCCGGGCAGACACGGGAGCGGCTGGCGTGGGGCCCTCGCCCTCAGAGGGGCCGAGGCGGGCTTGCTGGGTCAGAGCGCCTGTCCCTGGCATGCCGAGGGCTGCTACACACCGACAGTGTCTGCTCCACACACCTCCACAGCACGGGCCTGCCGCCCACTTCTCAGTGAGGAGCAAGAGCCCCAGGGCAGGCAGGTGGCCACGCCCATGCTGCCCAACCCACACAGGGACCTGGGCGCCCGGGTCTGGCTCAGCCAGGAGGCCCGACTGGCCCAGCAGCCGGTTCGTGTGGAACAGCACTGCCAGCCCCTCCGCCAGACCCTTGCTCTGCCTTGGAGCCGCCGAGTGGGGACCGAGAGCTCTGCACACCGAGTGAGGAGAAGCTCTCCTTGGGTTGCATGTCAGGCCTTGGGTCCCAGCATGATGGAGACAGGCCGCGTCTCCCAATGGCTGCCGCAGAAGTGCGTGTGTGGAACGTGTCACCCACCAGCCCTGCTCTCCTGCTAGCCGGTCACAGGAGTGACAGGAGCAAGTGCAGCCTGCTGCAGAGGGCCCAACCCTTGGGGCTGGGTGCAGCCGAGGGCGCTGGCTGTGGGGGCCAGTGAGCAGCGGGACCAGCAGGAGGCAGGGTCCCCAGCGTGCTCCACCAGCCCTTTCAGTCTGGACACTCCCAGGACACTGAGAAATCCAGAGGTCAGCGTGGGTTCCCACGCCTGCAGCATACTTCAGATGGCGACACTGAACAAATTAATGCTTGTAGCGCACACACAAATTGCCAAGCAATATAATTATGCTATTCACGAGGAAATTACAGGGTTTATTAGAATTATTAACTGTGGCATGCTCTGGGCAGAGGGGCTTGGCGACAGGCCCCCGGGTGCAGCTTTTCGGAAGATCATCTCCGCTCAGCCAGGTGGGGCACCCTGGCCAGGGCACGTGGCTTCTGGGGCTGCACCCCGCACTCCAGCCCTCGAGCAGACAGGACGGCGGTTCCCGGGGGGCACTGGGTGCAGCCAGGTTGCAAATCTTGGATTATGGGATGGGCAGGTCTAAGCCAGCTTGAGCTAATGAGCTGGAAGGGAGGCCTAGTCCTGGCCTCCGGGAGAGAGCCTGCCTTGGCCTGGAAAGATTCTGTCTCCTGGGGCCGGGGATTTAGCTCAGTGGTTCCGGAACCTGCCTCGAAAGCGAGCAAGGTCCTGAGTTCAATCCCTGGAGCCGCCCCCCCTTCTCTCCCTCCCCCTCTCCTCCCTTACTGGGGATGGATCAGGTTCTCACTGAGCTACATCCCCACCCCTTTCTTATTTTATTTTGAGACAGGGTCGAAGTCGCTGATTTTCCCAGACTGGCCTCAAACTTGTCATCCTCCTGCCTCAGCCTCCCAGAATGCTGGGGTGACGCCAGGCAGAGTGTCATTCTTGTTGGACGTGAATGAGGAAGGCGTCTGCCTGGCTGCTCCTGGTGGCCGTCCGGAGGCACAAGGAAGCCCGTGTGACAGACGCCACTCACTGAGGGAGGACACGAAACCACAGCGCCCAGACTCGCCGCTCCTGCCCCCGCCAGCCTGCGTGCAAGCTGCCGGACAGCGTCTTCCTGCTCGGGCTACAGTCCCGCCCCTCGCACCTGCAGGCCCCGGAATATGACCGCCTGGGGCCGTGTGTGTGTCTGTCTCCCTCTGCTTGGTGGGCAGTATGGGCCTCGAGCCAGCAGTGCTGCTCAAGCCCCGGGGATTTGCGGGGTAAGAGGCTTAGCGCCGAGGGGACCAACAGCTGCGGGCGCCCGGGGCAGGGACCCTCCACGTCTTTGCCCCGTGAGGAGCTTGGTAGGTCTGCAGGGGCACCGGGTCCTGCACTTCGTCCCTGTGTGTCTGCACCGAGGCCCTGAGAAGTCTCAGGGCTTCACCAGACCAATGGTAGGACAGACAGATGCACAGACAGGTGCCGCCCTGAGGTGCGGTGGAATTCCTGGGCCCCAGCTGCACCTCCTGGCCTCCAGGAGTGAAACCCACTCTGGCATGTGGTGTTTTTAAAAATGATGACTACAGCCGGCCGAGGTAGCACACACCTGTGATCCCAGCACTCAGGAGGCTGAGGCAGGGGGATCGGCACACGTCGAGGGCAGCCTGCACTACATAGAGACCCTGTCTTTAGAAGCCCTAACCTGCTAAGTAAAACAATGACTGCCTGGTGCCCAGAAAGCACAGTCCGTGGTCCAAACGTCAAGCCAGCATCGAAGGTGGGGAGCCTGGCAGAGAGGCCCGTGTGCCCGAGTTCCCGGCCCAGGTGACACCCCCCGCCTGTGTCCCTGTGTGGGGTGCAGCCTGGCTATATGAGATTTGGTGGCGGCTGCCAGTGTCTCTGAGAGGCCCCAGCCGGCCAAACCTCTCTCCCAGGCTGGGCTGCACGTTGAGGCCCCCACCACGTGTTCAAAACCTGACCTGATGTCAGGGCAGGAGGAGGGAGCGCCGGAGCACGTGCTGCTCAATGGAGCGAGTGCCGTGCTCCACCCACCCGGAAGCAGTGGGCAACCCGAAGAGGGCACTGCCAGAGCCTGATCTCAGACTTCCTGTCTCAGAACCTCGAGAAGTGGATTTCTGTTTATTAGTAACCCAGTCGGTGACATCCCCTGACAGCACCCCAAAATGGAGGCATCTCCCCTCTTATATGAAAGTGACATTATGAACACATCCACATAGTTCCAGGGCTCCTTCCCAATCTGTACAGGATGCGTCCTCCTCCTTGTTCATGGCTGTGTAGTGTTCCACCCACAGTTTACTTAAAATGCATCCTTAAGACTGTTCCCAGCTTTGCTGTCATAAGCAAGGACACACGAAATACCCTGGACCTCACCCATATAGAGCACTAACCTATAAAACACAGGGATAAAATATAGCCTCAGGGTTGCTGGATCAAAAGGCAACTGCATTTGTGATCTTGATAAATATTGTGAAATTACTCTTTGTTCGTGATACACCCACCAGCAACATCTGAAAGTTGCTTCTTTTAAGAAATGAGCCCATGAGGGCCGGGGATTTAACTTAGTGGTGTCGCGCCTGCCTGGCAAGTGCAAGGTCCTGAGTTCAATCCCCGGTGCCAAAAAAAAAAAAAAACAAATTAAAATTTTTAAAAATGAGCCCATGAAATCCATTTTTTCTCGAAAAGAACACTTCTTGTCAAATACCAGGGAAACAGCCACAAAGCAAAAGGTAAGAACTGCCCGTAACCCGAAGGTGCAGAACCTGCTCTCTGTCCCTGAGATCCATTTTCCAGGCGCCCCATGCCCCGTGGGGGCTGTGGTGGGTGGGCCCCCCAGGGAGGCTGTGTGGTGCAGCGGCTGGCACAGGGAGCCGGCGGGCCTGGCACTGCCAGCACCGTCCGAATGTGGCCGGCCGTATCCTGGGGACGGGGTGGCGTCCCTCGGTGGGCCTGCTGCCGTGTCCTCGGCCTCCCTGTGCCCCTCTGTGGGATGCTGTCACTGCCCTGCGCGGCTCCAAGGACTTGGCTCTGCTCAGCTCTGTGGCTGCTGTGGGAGTGGAGGGTCGGGTGGGTGGGCCTGGTTTCCTGTCCCTTCTCCACAGCCCCTTGCTGCATCCTCCAGGACCCTGTCCAGGCCCCTCCTGGCCCTACCACCCGGGTCACCTCTCATGGCCTAGAGAATATCACAGCCTTAAAACCATCCCCCTGGCTGAGCAAGGTGGTACACACCTGTGATCCCTGTACTCAGGAGGCTGAGGCAAGAGGATCTCCAGTTTGAGGCCAACCTGGGCTACATAGGGACTTCCAGGTCAGTCTAAGCTGAAGAGCAGGACTCTGCCAACTGGTGGTGATGAAGTTTCAGATGTGGTCTCACTTCCAGGGGAATACTATTCAGCAATAAACAAGGGCGAAACTGTGAGTGGATGCCCTGTGAGAACATTGTGCTGAATCGGAGGAGCTGGACGCAAAGGCTGGGGAGGGCACAGTCCCACGTGTGCCAAACAGCCGAGGAGGCAAAGCCGTAGGCAGAGGGTAGATTAGGTTGCCAGGGTGGGGTGGGCACCGGGAGACCAATGGTGATGCTAGCTGGGGGTGAGGACAGTGTTTTGCAGCCTGGCGGTGGCTCAGCTCTCTGAATGGCTCAGAGCAAAGGGCCCGGGGCTGCGTCCTCTAACAAACCACAGAGGCGGCAGAGCAGGCCTCCGGGCCCAGGGCTGGGTCTAACTGCGTGTGCTGGGCCTGCCCTCCCTCTTCATGCCTCAAAGGTCCATGATGCAGCCAGCCCGAGCCCAGGGAGGCCACAGGACCACTGGCCCCGGGGCCCCAGCACTGCACGGGGAGAGCAGACAGCACCCAGCAGACCAGGACACTCGGCCCGAGAGCACACACACCGGAGGATCGAGTCAGGAGCTACCTGAGTGTCGAGCTACACACTGCTTCCCACACGAGAGCCTGGGCCCTGGACCAGGGACCTGGGTTCGAGTCCCGACTCTGCCCTGTGGCTTTTTGAGCAACAGCCCCTCGGAGCTCACGGGTGTCATGGGGAGCGGTCCACCACGAGCCCGGCGCTCGCGGGAATCCGAGGTTTGTAGCACTCCCGGAAGGGGTAGCCTCTACCCCATCCACTCGCCCTATCTGGACTCTGCGTTCCCAGCCGGTGGGGAGCCTGGACCGAGAGGCGTGGCGTCTGCAGCTATTTTCCATGTGGACGCACCTGGCGGGTGGGAGTAGCAGCCCGGCCCCTGCAGCTGTGTGGGGCCTGGCACCTCCTGTCCACACCCACAGTTCCAGGAGGCGCAGCTCAGCGCGGCACAGCTGGGTTCAGACCGGGGTGCATTTCCGCAGGAGGCCACTAGGGGGCGCCCGCCCCACGGAAGGCTCCCGGTCGCTGGCGGGCAGGGGACCCGCGGGCGGAGACGGGCGTGGGGCAGGGCCCTGCTCCCTGGAAGTCGCCCTTGCTGTGCCCTGGGCCCAGTTACGGAGGCCCAGCCTCGAGGGTGTGAGCCTGGCTCCGAATGGACACCTGCTCCGCCTGCGTCCGGCGCCCACACGGGCGCTCCGGGGGGCCGGGGGGGGGGTCGCCCGCTCTGCCCTAAACCCGGCTCTCACTTCCGGTCCGTGGATCTGGTTTGGCCAGGGGCTCCTCTCCGGATCCTGCGAGAACACTGCTTCTCCCTAAAGCGAGGGTCGCTTTTTCCTGCTATTGCGAAACTAGCTGAGCTGCTGCAGAAGCCCCGCGGAAGCCTAGAGAACAGAAGCTCCCGGGCGCCGCCCCCAACCCACCCGGTCCTGCCCGCGCTCCTCCTCCCGCTGCGTCGCGACCCTCCTGTCTCGGCGGCTGGGCAGATGGCGCTCCTAGGCCTCCATCCTGCCGCCCCTGCATGCCAGCATCCTTTGCGGGTGGCAGGCTGGTTCCAAGGGATTCTGGGCCGCGCAGGTGACGTGGGCGTGAGGACAGCCCGGGGACACGGGGTTCTGCGGGGACAAAGTGCAGGCCGGGGAGGCGGACAGGCAGATGGCGCCCGCCCGCCGGCCCAAGGACAGGGACTGGTGTCCGGCCCTAGTGAGGCCGGCCTCCTGGGTTGCAGCCGCTCCCTGCTGTTGCCTGGTTGCTGTGCTCAGAGCCAGGCTCCTGGATTCTCACCTGTAGCCCCCAACTACAAATTCCCACGTCTCCAAGGACGGCCAGGTGCTCAGCTGCATTGTGTTCGGCCTTGCTCGCTGACAGCCCTCCCATACGCGGCGCGAGCTCACAGGGCACTGCTCTGTCCCCGGAGGGTCCAGGTTTGGTGCCCTGCACACTGCGTCCCTGGCTGAGCCGCTCACTGCGGCTGGTGCCAGCGACCTCAGTCCTCCTGCTGCCCTCCTGCCCTCTGCACCCAGCTGCACCCAAGGGCGCCTGGGTGGGCGGCAGCTCCAGCCACACGGCCAGGCCACCTCCCAGGCCCGCACGTGCTCTCCACTTCCCCTCAATGCACAGGTCGGGCTCCGTGGAGGTTCAGAGGTCCCGTTCACCACCTCGGGTCCTGCCGGGGATGCAGCCTGTGCCAGTCCTGGGCCGCAGGCCCCATGCCCGAGAGAGGTAAAGACGCAGCCACAGCAAAGTAGTCAGGGCCTGGGCTCCTCCCCCGTGGCCTTGGCAGTTTAACAACTGAGCGTATGAGAACAGAGGCCCCCAGACGAGCGCATCCCACAGCCCGCCTCCCCGAAGGGGCTGGGGTCTGCTGGGCCTGGCTCCCTAGGTGCTCAGCAGGTAGCGTGTCCCTGAGACCTCCTGGAGCCAGGAGGTGAAGGTGACAGGTGAGTGAAGGGCTCACTCCTGCAGCCGGGACACCGGGACCGCAGCTGTGGGCTGGAACTGCCAACTGCAGGCCAGGTTCAGCCTCGGGAGGCACCTGCGGGCCGTGGGACAGCTGCACTCAAGGGCCGCTTCAGGGCCCCTGCCCAGCACCTCAATACCCCTCTGGAGTCTTCGGGTCAAGCCTCCTCCCCAGCCCAGATGCCCCGTGCTCTGTGAGCCCAAACACCATGCCACCCGGTGTTCCCACACTGAACCCCGGGACAGGAGCTGCCTGAGGCACCCATGGGGTTCCCAGGGATGGCTCCAGCCAGCCCCCATGCAGGGCCACCCCAAGGAGCCAAGATTGAAGACGCGATGCAGACGCGGATCTTGAAAATGAGTAGCCAGAGGGTGTGTGGAGCTCTTACCTGGCCTGACTTGATGGAGGGACCCTGCTCGAGGCTTGGGGTCACCGGGACAGAGAGTTGGGGAGTGGGCACCTCGGTCTGAGTACATGGACGGCGGTCCTCGAACCCCAGCCCCCATGCTAGCAGCTTCAGGACTGTGTGGGACATGGAAAGCCAGATTCCAAGCCCCGGGAAGCAGCTGTCGAGGGCAGTGGGAGCCAGAGGGGCCGCGCAGAAAGGCAGCAGGGGTGGGGCAGCTGCTCCTGGGCAGTTCAGATGGAGAGCCGGGGCAAGTGTCCCCAGGGCTGCTCCCAGGCGCCGCCCCTTCCTCCCGCCTGTCCATCTTGTCCCCTCTGGCCATGCTGCCCATCTGGCCCTGTGTTTATCTGCTGGCGTGGGCTGGCCTGTGAGGGTCACAGCCTCGGCCACCTCCAGGCCCTGCACCTCCTAGGTCCTGAGCGGCAACTCCAGGGCTGCAGCTGGGGACCCGGGCAGAGGGCTGGGGAGGCCCCACCCCATGACCACCCAGCCTCCCGTGCCCAGCGCCCTGGGAGTCTGGGAGTGGAGGCCTGGCCCAGGTCCCCCAACACCCCAGTGTGCCGGGCCTCCTGGGCTCACACAGCCTCCTGGTGGCTGAGGGGGCTGCTGTCATTCTCGTGGCTGGGGAAGCTGAGACCCACGGAGGAAGTACCCATGGCTGGTGGCGACCCCACCCTGCAGCCTGGCCTTGTCCACCAGCATCAGGGGCCCTCGAGCCGGGGGCCGGGGGCCTAGCTGTGCCCCTCGGGTCTCTCAGAGCCTCAGACTGGAGTCGGTGGCCGAGGTCAGCAGCTCAGAGAGGCTCAGGACCGTGCTGAGGTCACAGCCCGGCCGTCTGGGGTTCATAGCCCACAGCAGCAGGAAGGCGCTGGTCCGGGGTTAAGCCCTGCTCCGGCCTCCCTGTGGTTGGAGGGTCCAGGGTGCCACAGGAGGGAAGAGGGCGGTGGAGAGCAGGCACCCAGGTCTGAAAGTGGGGTATAGCGTAGCGGGTGCGGTGGGCCCGGGGAGGCACAGTGACCTTGGGTTGGGGACGCGGCCGCTGCTCTGGGCTCGGCTCTCTGGAGGCTGCAGGCTCCAGAGTCACAGCACACTGCTCCCGGGGCCCAGCCCGGCCCCCGCCCACTCAGAGCCCACTAACCCAGGCCCCCAGCTCGGGTCCCCACAAGCAGGGACAGGCGGCCGAGGGGCACACGGAGACGTGGGGTGATACAGCCAGGGCGCCGTCCTGGAAAATCCCAGTCCTTCCCCACGGTCACAGAACCTGCTCTCCTGTCCCTCCCGGCAGCGTCCGGGCACCTGACTGGAGCTATAAATAGAGGGTGATGGAAGGCTCCGGAAGCCCAGGGGAGGCGGCGGAGAGGACTCGGTGCTCCCTGTGGCCGGCAAGGGGTCTCCCGGGATAGGAGCGGGTGCTGGAGCCCAGCAGAGGCCCCGAGGACAGGGGCAGGCGGAGAAGCAGGAGGCAGCGGGCAGCAGGACTTGGCTGACCTAAGGGTTGTGGCTGGGGATCCGCACGCCGGCTGGGACCCTGAATGCCGACTCAAGGCTCCCCTCAGTCCGAGTCCGCCCTCCAGGTGGTTCTGACTTGGGCTGGAGAACCAGGAGTCCAACTCAAGAACAAGCGATTCACCAGGCTGGGGCTCGGCCAGCCCTCCCCAGGGGCAGGGCAAGCTGGGACCTGCCCGGGGCACCCCGGCCCCAACTGCTTCCTCCTGTGTCTCCCCCAACAGAACCCTGGCGTTACCCACACAGTGGTGACCGATTTCCCAGATGTCCTGGCCCGTGTGCTGCCCCAGGTTCTTCCATGGGGTCGGAGAGGTGCTGGGACAGGGGCAGTCCCCTGCGCTCCTATTTGCCTCTTCCTCTCTGCTCATGGCAACAGTTGTGATCACTGGAACTGCAGCCACTGTACTGGGTCACGTGGTAGAAGCCACACAGCAAAGGAGACCAAGCGCTCCTGTAACCCCTAGCACTCTGGAAGGCCGAGGCAGGAAGATCAGAAGTTTGAGCCCAACCTGGGCAATTTAGGGACACCAGGCCTCGACGGCCCCTCCAGGACGAGCTTCTGTGTCTCCCAATTTCCCTCCTCCCCGGGCTCGGGCTGCGGTGAGGTGGGTGCGATCCACCCCTGGGGACCTGGGGACCCACCCCAGATGCCGCCTCTCCAGGCCTGTTTCTTCTTCTGAACAAAGGGAAACTCAGTCCTGCCTCCCGGGGTCCTGAGTAAGAAATGAGCCAGTGCTGGACAAGTGTTGGGAACGTGTGCTGAGGAGCTGCTAGCGCAACCTCATCATCGTCATCTACGCCATTTCCAGCAGGTTCGAGGGAGAGGCTCGGAGGAGGAGGAAGAGGAGGAAGAAGGGCTGGCATGGTGGCCCACACCTGTGATCCCAGCATGTGGAAGGCGGAGGCAGGAGGATCACCGCTAGGTCGAGGCCAGCCTGGGCCACACAGTGAAACCCTGTCTCAAAAGAGCAAAAAAAGAAGAAGAAGGAGAGGAGAGGGAAGAAGAAGAGAGGGGGAGAGAGAGAGAGAGGAAGAGAGAGAGAGAGAGAGAGCAGCTCTGCCTCAGGCCCTGGTGCCCGGCGTGGGCTGCAGCCTGGAGATGCTGCCCGCTCCGTGCAGCGCCCGTGGCCCCGTGGCCGCCCGCCCCTCTGCACAGTGGTTTGGTGGCGCGGCCAGGAGAGCGTGGGCTGGAGCGCAGACCCGCTGCCCCTGGGAAGGTCCCTTGGCCCTGGAGCTCTCTTCCTCACGGATGCGGGCGGCACAGCATCCCCGCGGGTTAATGCCTTGGCACGGCCTGGGGTGGGTGGCCTGGGAGTCGGGGTGAGGCAGCAGACGGTGAGGGCCCCCCGTGTCCCCCATCGGGCTCGTGTTCTGGAGCCCCGCATCACCAGGAGTGCACGAGGCCATGGCCAGGTCCTCCCAGGTGACAGGGCCTACTGTGTCCAGACACAGAGCTGGGGGACACCATCAGCAGGGGACAGGGCAGGCGCTGGCATCTCAGGATCCCCCAGCCAGAGGGTAGCATCTGTGCCCCATTCTGCAGGGGAGGGGCTGAGGCCCAGGGACTCGGAGTTAGGGCTCTCAGCTCCAGGCCTGACCCTGACTGACTCCGTCCTGAGCCCTAGCTGTCCACACGCTGCCCTCCCTGCACTGCCCCCCAGCCTGACCCCCAGAACAAGCTTGTCTTCCCTCTCGGGGAAGACGCTGTCACCCTGGGAGCAGAACTGGGCTGGTACTGACTGCTCCTTGGCCAGTGGCTGTGCCCCAGGCCAGCTGTCCAACCCTCCACCTGCTGGCCTTCCCTCCTTCCGACACCAGGGATCGAACCCAGGGCCTTCACACAGCCCTGGAAGAGGGAGGGTGATGGAGCACGGAGCGGGTGAGACTCTGCAGGACTCCGCCCAGCCCCACACCCTACGGGGGGAACCAGACAGTTCTTGCCTGAGGCCCCAGGCCTCCCAACTGGCACCATCTGCAAGCGGAGCCCACCCTGAGAGGGGCACCCCATCGTGGGAGCACCCCTCCAGGGCAAAGGCTGAGCCTGGCTGGGCACAAGAGGTGATGGGAGCACATGTGTAGCCTGGGCCAGGCCTGCAGCAGCCAGGAGGGAGGTGGCACTGGGTCCCAGGCCCCTGGGAGGTTGCCCAGTAGGCACCGTGCAGGCCCGGGGCAGGGTCCGGCCTCAGGATGGCCGGGTTCTCTGCCCAGTGCCCTCGACTCTAGGCCACTGGAACTGGCACTGCTCGGTGAGAGGAGGTGAGGCAGCAGGCAGGCGGGAGGCCGGTGGAGGGCAGAGAGGAGAGGGGGGGTGATGGTTGGAGCAGGCCCCAGCTTCTGCACTCAAAGAACGCCCCAGAGCCCGAAAACCCAAACCACGAAAGACGCCACCTCACACCTTGGCGCCAGGGAAACTGGAAGCCTCCTGCACTGCCTGCCGCTTGGAGAACCAGCCGCAGTTCCTCAAAGTCACCTCGAGTCACCGTGTGGTCCAGCAATCTTCCTAGGTATAAAACCAAGAGAATTGAAAACATATGTCCTCAAGAAACTGCGGAGAAATGCTCACAGGAGCAGTATTCACATGGCAGAAAGTTGTAGCCGAGCGTGGTCGCACTTGTAACCCCACCAGTCAGGAAGCTGAGGCAGGAGGGTGGGCAACAGTTCAAGGCCACCAGGGCTACCTAGTGAGTTCAAGACCAGCCAAAATACATAGCAAGACCCTGTCTCAAAAAACTAAAAAATAAACTGAACATCCGTGAACTGAGGAATGTATATACCCATGCCATGGAATACTACTTACCACAGAAAAGGGAGGCAGTGCTCTGTGCACTTTGGAGACGTCAGCCAGGGACAGCCCAACACCAGAGGACAGATGCGGGTCACTGAGCCATGCTTCCATCTATGGAAGCTTCCAGAGCTGGCTACCTCACATAGGCAGAGCGATTTCCAGGCTGGGCACAGTGCTAACGGGGCAGAGATTCCTTCGGGTGGGACAAACATGTTCTGGAATTAGACAATGGTGATCCATGCAGGACTCGGTGAATATAACAAAAACCACTGGTGTGTGCACCTCAGGAGCGTGAGCTCTCGGCATGTGCATTATATACCAATAAGGCTGTTACTAAAACTATCCAGGCAACCTCTGAGATTTACAAGAGCACTAGTGAAGACCTGCATACCAAAGGCCTAAATATTTAAAAACCGGGCAAACAAACTGCTAAATAAAACATGTCTTCCTCTCTTACCCTGACAAATACACTTTCACAGAGGCAAAATCAGGGAGTGTATGTCCAGCTCTGGTTTTCTTATTCTTCAATGCTGTTGTGTTTGAGTTTTCTGTTTATGAGCCGGCTGTGTTCAGACAACTGATAAAATAGAGACATACGTAATGCACAAATTAGCATTGCTTTATTTCATAAAAATGTACATGTCTTCATTTCACCAAAATTACTCATCTGTGTTCCAGGGACAGTAGCAATCCAAAAAAATTTTTTAAATGAAATATAGTTTTCCTCAAAAAGGGATAAATTATAGCAAATGTAAAATTTTAAAAATATTTTTCAGAAAGGCATTTTTCTAAAATACTCAATGTTATTTATTGAAATTAAAAGGCAAAATACAAATGATAATTAATATAATAGTTGAAGTCATGATTTGAAATTAAATCTGAAGTTTTAGTAATTTTTAAAAGTCCAATACAATTTAAATAACCATTTTTGAAACAGTAACCCTATTAGCAATTCTAGTGTTCTGTGGCCATGTGGTTGGTAATATAAAGAATCAGAATAACATTTCCTGCATGTTATATCTAAATTTATATATACAGATATAAGAGTAATGTGGGTTGTTTAAACACTGTAAAATGTCACACACACACCTGTCGAGCATATTGGGTAATTCACGGGCCTCTCTGGAGCCAAAAGTTGGTGGATGAGGAAAAACAAGAAAATTGACATTGGCCGGGTAGAGGAAGAGCTCTGGTCTGCAGAAAGCTGCAGAACCCAAGCCTTCTCAGGGGAATTTGACAAGTTCAGCAATGTGCCTGCTTTGTCAGTTTTAGTCAGCTTTCCACTACTAGAACAAAATGCCTGCAATAACCAACTTCAAAGAGAAAAGGTTTTGTAATAGTCACTTTTCCAGCCCTGAGACACACACAATTTGAAGGAGGAGAGACGTCCTGCAGAGATGTCTCAGCCACAGCTATGGAGACTCGGGGGAGCCCGTGTGCTCTCCCCTTGGTCCCAGCCTTCCCAGCCTCCCCTGCTCCATCCCAGGGCGGCCTGGGCCAGCGGGAGCGGGGGCTGGAGGGGACGTCCCACGCCCTGCCTTTTCCTCTGCTGATGTCTCAGGGACCCAGTGGGGGTCCTCTGGGGAGCCCAGTGTGGCCCTTTGAGCTGGGGGTGTGCAGGAGGGGACTGGATGGTGCCCCCCACTCAGGCCAAGCCCAGAGTCCTCACCACTGTGAGCCTCAGTTTCCCTCGTGTGCATGTTGTAGGTGAGTGCTGCGGTGAGGGCTCAGGTGGCCACGGGGTGCTAGGTAGCAGTGACGCCACTCAGTCTGGCAGTCGGTCCTCGGTGCTAACAGTGGGACCGGGGCAGAGGCTCCAACACCCTCCCGAGGCCCAGGGCACCGGAGGCACTGCGGCCAGACTAGTGGACCACGGGTCAGAGAAGGCCCAGACTATGGCCTGGCACTTCAGGCCGTGCCCTCCTCCACGGGGAGCAGCCTGGGGACAGGCCCCGGGAGAGCGTGCTGGCTTCAAGAAGACCTCCGCTTCCTGTCCTGCCCCAGCCTCCATGCCAACCCAACCTGCTGGTGCCATGGGGTTGAGACTCTTGGCAGAAAATGGAGGTCCAGGCCTAAAGGAGCCCTATGAGCCCAGTCTGACCCTGATTTCATAAAAGCGGAGACATTCCTGGAACCCCGTGAAGTCAGGGAATGCTGGGAGCCTGGGGAAGACCACGAGCCAGCCGAGACCTACCCTGGTCCATCCAGGAGTCAGGGCTGCCCGAGGCAGCGTGCCAGAGGGAGTTCAGGGCACCAGCCGGGCCACACAGAGGAGGGTGTCCAGGGGTCCACAGTCTGTCTCCTGGCCCTGTGTACCCTGGAGCAGCAGGGCTCAGAGAGGAGGGGCCTCTTGTCCAAGGCCACGTAGCAAAGCAGGACCAAGGTGAGTCCTGGGCCTGAGGTGACTTCCGGCCGCTGGCCCCTTCTAGAGGACTCGGGGCCCGGCACCCTCAGCTCTGCACCCGGGAGCCCTCAGGAGGAGGCCGATGGGCCTCCCCTGTTGTCACCCCAGTGTGGCGGGCTGGCAGGCGGCTCATTACCCTCATCACCCAGAAGCTCCGGGGAGATAGCGCTGTAATCTGCCCTCCCTCCGCCCCCGCGGAGGCTGACAGTGAAGACAGGAGGTGGGGACAGCTGGCGGGCAGATGGGCAAGGGAGACAGCCAGGGGACCAGGGTGGGCACGGGCGTCGCATGCCACAACACTGCCCTGATGGGTAAACTGAGGCAAGGTCATGTACGGCCCTGCCCCAGGGAGAGGCTGCCAGTGAGTGGGGCTCCTGGGAGATGTCCCCGGG